CTGCGGGGGGATCTGGGGTGGTGGAGGAAGGGTCTGGGGGAGATCCTGGGGGGTCCTCTACCTTGGTGATGTCACCCTGGATCTGGATGACCCCAGGCAGGGGAGCCATGGCCTGCAGGTCTACGGCCACGATGGTCACGTCAGGGCCCCTGCAGGGGGGCACAGACACACACAGAAGGTGGGTAAAGGGCACGCTTGACCCCCAGCTCAAAGCCCTCGCCCCCTGCCAACTCACATCAGCTTCCGGCTCAGCACTTGGCTCCAGCTCCCTGGGGCTGCGCACAGATCCACTGCACGGTGCACACCTGTGGGGACATGACCCCTCTCCCATCAGTGCCTGGGTTCTCCGGTAGGGAAGTAGAGGGCTGGGGTCTGAGAGCTGGGAGCCCAGATGCCTGGGTTCTTTGGAAGAGGAAGGGGCTGGACACCTGGGTTCCCTGGGTGGGGAGGCGACATTGGGAACCTGGACACCTGAGTTCTTTGTAAGTTAGAGAGGTTGAGGCAGGTTAGAGTACGGGGGTGTTGCACCTGGGTTTTCTACCCATTCTGGAAGGGGTATGAAAGCTGGGTGCCCAGACACCTTGGTTTTCTGGAAGGAGTGGGGGCTGGAGGTGAAAGCCTGGGAGAGTGGGGTGCTAATGGTCAGGATACCTGGGTTCTCTCCCCACTCTTAGATAGGACAGGGTTCTGGGTACCTAGGTTCTTATTCTGCTTGGGACAGAGGCAGGGGAGGGGGAGCAGGAACGACTGGAGCACACAGACACCTGGGTTCCCTATCCACTTTGGGAGGGTTTGGGGGACAGGATGCCCTGATGTCTGGGTCTCCTCCCTGCTGTGGGAAGAGAATGGAAGAGCTTGGCACCCAGATGCCTGAGTCCTCTACCGTGGAAGAGCTGGAATTCCTCATCCAGCTGCAGCAGCTTGAAGGCACTGCGGGCCCGCCAGCCCTCCTCCTTGGCCAGCCGGTAGTACATATCCCGTTTGTCCTTCGATGATCGGCCCATCTGGTCCTGATCCTGGCCCCCAGAGGACCTGTGAGGACAACAGCCACTATTGGTGTGGTTACCTGTCACTGGAAGGACACAGGCACCCCCTCCCACTGGTCCTTTTGGTGTCATTCTATAAAACAACATTTTTGTTGGTCCTACAAGAACCAGGAGCTTATTCAGCCTACCTATTTTTAGTAGGTCTCACATAAGCACCTAGCACTAGGGGCAAAGCTCAGAGACCCTATAATGATGGACAGGGGTGCTGGGAGCCCAGAGGGTAATAAAGTCAGTCCTATTATAACATGTACATGACCCCACAACTCTGGGAGGAATAACATAGGCCCTACCATAATAGGAACATGGGCACAAGACCCCCACTTACTTGAAGACAAGACTGTAGGTCCTACTGTCATTCACGATGTCAACAGAAGTCTGTGTGGAAATCCTACAGAAACACGTAGCCCTGAGGGGGCCTGATGGAATCAGGTTCTGCTCTATGCTCATACCTCCATAGCCACCATTTTGGTAGAACCCACAAAAATGGAGGCCCAAGATCACGCAGACATGGTTTTGTAGGCCCTACAATAACCCATGACCCCAAAACGGGGAGGGCGGTGGGGATCAGCTGGAGTTAGGCTCTGCTAATCTTAACCTTCTCTTCCCCCACGGGCAAAGACACCATTTTGGTGTCACCCACAAAAATGGAGAAACACCACAAAGACCTGAGGGGACCTAGATATGTTATGATAGAGCCTACCATACCTACTGGGGGAGATTTAAAAAGGTCCCAGTCACCCACGCTCCCTCCCTGGCTTCCCACCAATACCACTGATTAGCCTCAATTATTGTAGAGCCTATGAAAATGGCGATGCATTAGGATGGGAGCGCGCATTCACTAGTTTATGCGCAGAAGCTACGAACCACTGCCAATTTAGCGCGCATGCGCACAAGCCCTCACAAGCGTCCGGCGTGTACGTGCTGCCGCCCCAGTGCGCACGCGCAGAATATCCCTCCTGTTTCTCTTCCCCGAAGGAATGTTACCAGCCGCGCGGTCTCGGTCTAAACAACAGATCTTGGGGCGCTGGACCGGAAGTGATACCTAGCAACGCCGGAAGTGGAAGTGGTCCCGCTGAGTTGAAAGTGAGGGTGAAGGCAACCCCGGGGGCGGGGTGGGGCGAGGGAGAAGA